ATTTAATTAAGTTATTGTTAATTATCTATTGGTTTAATTTAAGTGGCTATTGTTCGGAATGAGCAATGCTAAGGAAGGAGCAGTGTTACGACAGCGGAAGTCACATGATTCTGGTAACACGTGATGAGTGTCTAAAAGGATCAGGGAACATCACGAATAATCCAGTATTTGCTAGACTGATCAACCATTCCTGTATATAAGTGCGCCAGATAAAGCGAGACAATTAATCGGAACTGGAATAGCAGACAGAGAGATTAAAGATATAGACAGATAATCAAGTCAAGCCGTGAGTAAAGTGTGTAAATCATTGTAAATTATAGCATGTGTTTAAGTTAAAGTGACTGTGGAAATTAAGTGTATTGCAAAGTTGAATTGAGAAAGAATAAACAGGTTTTATTTTTTTTAAAAATGGACTTGTATCACTGAAGTTCTTTGGAAAGAATTTTTACGGGTAATTAACAAACGACCAGAGGTGTAACACGGCATTAGAGACTGTTTGTGTCAAGAAGTTTTAAATACCATGTGATAGAGCATTTAAAGACCTTCACAAATGTGTGTTCTGATTTGTGACACAAAGAGTCTGTAACAGGTTAATGCAGTTTCCAAGATTTATTAAATAGATATACTTAGTATTCAGTTTCGAATATCGGTATTACAGATTGTTTGTGTCAAAAAGTGATATACTCCATGAGACAGAACATTTAACGACCTTCACAAATATTTGATTTGACTTGTGACACAAAGAGTTCTTAATATGCTAATTCAGTTTCAAAGATTGACTAATGAGATGTATTTAGTATTCAGTTGATATTGTCACGACAGTGGAAGTCACGTGACGCTAGTAACACGTCATGAGATTCTAGAAAGATCATGTGTGTTCGTGGCAACTCTAGTCTTCTATATGCGCCCTCTATTTTTGTATATATAAGCCGGCAAAAGAAGTGACGGTATGAATAATTGAATAGCAGACAAGGAGATAGATAGATAGATATAGATAATTGCAGACAGATAGAGATGGACAATTGAGTCAAGCGCGGTAGGAAGTAAAGTGCGTGAATCGTTCGCTGTGAATTATAGCGTGTGTGAAGTTAAAGTGACTGTGG